ACATCTGCCATCATCCACTTTGCAAAGCATTCCACACTACAAGGCTATTCACATCCCTTGTCTATGGTGAGAGGGGATTCACTAGAGGCTTAATTCACATGATTTCCTTGACTTCATCTTTTCTTCCATTTGCTTCAGCTACTCTAGTATTGAGAGCAAGTTTCCGAGTCTTTTCTGACATCCACCTTGGTTTCTTCTTTCTTTCCTGTCTTTTTAATGTCCATTTTTTTTGTTCTTCTTGTATGATGTTCTAGATCATACCGTCCCACAACTCATCGGGTCTTCTGTTATTAGTGTTCAACAAGTCAAATATGTACTTGAGATATTCTTGAAATTCAGGGGGGATATACCCAAAGTCGTATTTTGGTTCTCATGGCCCTGTTTGAATTTTCATCAACTTCAACTTGAACTTACATATGATCAAATAATGATCTTTTCCTCTGTTGGCCCCTAATCTGGTTTTAGCTACTGCTATGCCCAACTTTTTCATTCTAATTGCCAGTAATTGTTGATTCATTTTGATTGCGTGTTTGGTCAATTTCAGACTGAAGACTTTGGTAAAATATTTCAATTTCTGCATCAATATCATTGGTGATTGATACATAAATTTGATTACTGATTGTATTGAGTGGGTTTCCTTGTAAACAGAGAGATAATAATCCTATCACAGACAGCATTATGCTCCAAGATAGATCTTGAAATGTGCTTTGTGAAGATGAATGGAAGACATTCCTCTTGAAGCTGTCATTACCAGCATAGTAAACCATATGACTTTGATTGCAAATGGCCGATACCACTGCCGTTTCCGCTCAGTAATGCCTAGGACATCAATCTTTATGTATTCCATTTCATTTTTGACAAGTGTTAATTCTCCTGGATTCATACTTAGCACATTCCAAGTTCCAATTACTAATTGATGCTTGCAGATGTTTCTTCTCGTTTGATTAGTGCTTCCTCAGCAAATGGAGGCCCCGAAGACTTTGCTATCACACACTCTACCCTCTGTGTCATCATAGTTAACTCTGCTTTAAGAGGACAGCTCTCCCTCAGTCATATTGTGAGTGTCTTCTGACCGAAGGGGCATTTCTAGCACTATCTCTGACTGTTTTCTGCTGTTTTCCTGAGGTTTTCAATATCTGAAAATATTTTATGCTATATATAAAGATTTCAGTGGCTAATACATCTGAAATTGAAGAAACTTCTTCATAGTCCAT